GCTCGGTGCGGTTCCCCTGCGAGGTAGGCTGCCCTGGAACCAGCAGTTACGGGTGTCGTGTGGACGGACACCCTTCGGCGCTGCGGGACCTTTGCAGGCGTGCCTAGGATTGGGCGATGCGGGAATCCGTGGGCTTCTCTCAAGGAGCCGTCCGCGCTGCCCGGATCTTAGGGAGTAACCTAGTTTGAGGGCTTAAACCTAAACGCAGGTTAAGGGCAGGGAAGCGATGTGTTCACAGAAAGGGATGCCCAACGAAAATCGCGGAACTGAAGCAGAAGCACAACCTATTCACCCCCCTTTAAACACTTTGGACTCTGGAGCCCCAGATTTTGCTCCAGAGCTTCACCTGGCGGTGCCCCCCAGCTTGTCTGCAAAGCCAAGCAGGACTGGGCCTCTCTGATACTTGGAGGAGACACTTCCTGGAAGTCCCAAGGCTTTAGTCTAACTGGGAAATTAGGAAACACCAAGAGCCGGGCTTGACCTGGAGGCCACCTTACTTTTGTCACAGCCGATGACAGCGCCTAGTGGATGCTCTGGCGAGGCTACCTGGGCGAAAAGCCACAGGTCAAAGCCTGTCCCAGACGAAGACACAGCAGTGGCCAAGCGCTTCCACCCCATTGCACGGACTGTCCGTGAAGCCCCCAGCTTGACAAAACCCGACCACTTTTGACCTGCTGAGACGAGAAGCCCCTTCCATGTATCACATTTCTCTCGTGTAAGAGCAGAAAGGGCTGCACGCCTGAACAGGCTCCCTCCCCAACCATTGCTTGGGCTTTTTGGTGTCGGCGCAGTCTTCTGAAGACGAGTGGCCCACCTCTGAGACTCAGCAGAGCGCCTTCCCCTCTGCCCGGCTGCTCGCCCTCAGATCCGACCTGCTGAACTGGTGCCGCCACTGCTGCCAGGGCTGGGGGAGATGGCTGCTCTTCCAGCCCAGCCCCTCCGGACAGCTGGATTCCCACGTGTGAAGCTGCTGCGTGGCTCGCTGGCGTGACGCAGGGTGGAGCCAGCCAAGTGTGACTCGAACAAATGGTGGCTATGGCAAGCTGGATCTTGGCATAGTGAATCCAACCAAGGAATGCTGGTTGTTTCTCTCTCTCTTGACCCAGGGATGCCTGTCGGGGGGAAGTGCCCCCCTCGTTCTCTGGTTTGAATTGGGCGGTGGAAGGCAGGCAGGCAGGCAGGCAGGCAGGCAGGCAGGCAGGCAGGACATTCAGTGCTATACATATTTCTGCATTTGCTTTTCTTCTTCTTTGGTCTATGGGGTAGGGCCTCTCCTCTCATGATTTGTGAAGCATATCCAAGGATGATTCTAAAAACCTTTATTGGTAAACCAGTTTTAATTCCACTATTAATTTATTGATTTAATTAACTACCATTTTATCATTTTATTAATACATTATTAATTAGTTAATTAAATATAAAAATAATTTAATTCCAGTAAATGGGAGCACTGTATGTTCTCTTTGCTACAGTGCTGGAAGAATTGGGGCATCTGTACTGGTCATGGAAGTGCACTCTGCCCATGCTCAAAAGCAGCCTTGTTTTTGCTTTTGTCTGTAATGGTTCTGAGCAGTGTCCAGCTTGCCCGACTCTGACTGTCATTTGTTGAAACCATCAAAGCAAAGATCTGCCCATCTCCAGGCCTGCAATCTCCAGTGGTTGCAAGCCCCTTCCCCAATTGCCTGGGTTTGCTTCTGATCATTAGAGTCCAACCAGGAGCAAAATACTAGTGGCTCTGAGCTCATTAGCCCTCATCCTCTTGGGGATCATGTAGGGTGATCAATTTCCAGGAGAACCCGGGAACTGCTGAAGAAGGATCTGCCTGGTGGCTCAGCTGGTGTGAGCTTCCTGTCCTAGGATCCTAGAAATCCCCGGATGTGATCTGCAACTCTACATTTTTTTCACCCAATCGACTCTTTTTCTGTTTGATGAAAACATGCCTTTGAAATTTTATCAAAGGAGAAGAGAATTTGAGAAATTCTCTCAGTTGGAGTGAAATGTTCTGGATGAAGCCAAAGGGGACTCTAAAGATCTGTCAGAAACTTTAAACTGGTTGAACAGTCAACCAAATGGAAAATGCAATTCACTCTAAGTTAATGCTCAGACCCCTCCCCTCCATTAATGTCTGTACCAGTGCTTCTGAACCTTAGCAACTTTAAGATATGTGGACTTCAACTCCCAGAATTCCCCAGCCAGAGACCCTTTTCTCCGTTTCTTAAAATACCAGGACTGGATGAAACTGGAGGGAGATGTAGGATGGACAAAAAGACGGTTCTTAACCTGTGGAATTCACTGCCACAAGATAGGATGGCCACCAATTAGGATGAGTTTGAAAAAGGATTGGATAAATTCTTGGAGGACAGGTTTATGGACCAGTTTTGGTCTTGACTCTGGATTGTCAGCAGCACATGTCCAAACAGCAGTTGTAGAGGAACAGGAGCAGGAGAGGAGCGTGTTAGCCTGAAGGCATCTGCTTGGCCGCTGTGGGAAAAGGATGTTAAGCTAAAGAGGGCTTTGGCATGATCCTGCAGTGCGGTTCTTAGGGTCTTATGTCTTGCACAATGTAATTCTCTATGGTCTGCAGCCTCTCTGGCTTCCCGCTGTGCCTTTAAATCAGGGGGACCTGCTCTGACTTTTCCAGGTTGTGAAGTGTGGGCTGCCCTTCCGTCTTCTGCAGTCTGGATGGCACCAGGAGCAACACCCTTGGCCACCTCTGGCAATCGAGTCAGCTCAAGAGGCACCAAGAGAAACCCAAAAGCTTCTCCAGCACCTGAGGAGCAGAAGCCAGGCGTGGTTCAGGCACCTCCAGGAGAGCGCGCAGAAGTCTCGCAACGCTGCAGCCTGGTACTAAAAGACTGCTGGGCAGTGAAGGACTCTCAAAACCATTACACACGTTTCGTTACGTTGTCCATTTTATGCTGGCACACAGAGTTGATAACCCCAAATGGCCATTCCGATCAATTTTACTTTTTACTTTCAGATATTCATGACTTCATTATTCTAAACGCAGCTAAATTCTGCCATCCACACACAACGCGCACACCTGACTGACTGATATGCAGAGTTAATTTTATGATTGGCTCAGAGGGAGAGTGGTACAATGTGCTGGTCTTTGACTGCAATAAAGGTTTCTTCTGTGGCGAAAGGAGGGCCCAGCACCCGGTGCAGTGCAGGCCAGCAACTCTGGCCCCCGTCCTGCCTGCAGGGCTGCTTGGCCCTGCGTCCCGGGATTGCAGACGAGTTCCGCCTTCTCCTTCCGTGGCTGGGCTCTCCCGAATGGAGCGATGCACTGCCATCCAGTGGAAACCTGGACTGCAGGCTGAAGCAGAAAAGCTCTGCTGAGCGCAGCAACAGCCGTCTGGGAGGAGCCCTGTGGCTGACGGTGACAGGAACGATGCAGCCGGGACCACTCAGTGCATCCCAGCCTGTGGGCAGAGCATCTGCTCTGCTGCAAGGAAGCACGGCCAGGCCACCAAATGGAAAACTGGCGCCCTGGTGCCTTCCAGGCCTATTCGAGGGTTAACGGCCAGGATTCCCAGCCCGCGCAGCCTCTGCTTGGAGATGGTGGCATCTGCCGCCTAGATCCAGGCACCCCCTCTTAGCGCAGCTCCCAGACAAGCCTGCCCGGTGCCGCCTTCGGGCAAAGTCAGCAAAGCCCGTCTGTTCTTCCAGGGCGAGCACGTGCTGCGACTGAACTTTTAATGGCCTTATTTCCTCCACCCCTCCAGCGCTGTCCCTCCACCACACCTCGACTGTTTTAGTCCGAATGTTTTATTCTGTCATTTTAGAGTGCTGCAAATTGGCATTGTAAAACTTGGTTTCAAAGGGTGCTTAAGTAGGTGTTTAGAATAACCAACAAGCAGGAGAGCACAGAAACGCCTCTGGCGAGGAAGCTTTTTTAAAAAGCTTTTTATTTGACAGCCCTGCTAACTCCAGTGATGTTCTCTACCCTGCAACCCAACCAGCCCTCTCCTCACAGGAAAGGAAGCCAGGCACTTGCTGCGCAAAGCAGAAGTAGCCCAACTTTCCTCAGCCTGTTTGCCCCAGCCAACAACGGCAGAAGAGTGGTGGGAAGGGAGCTGGGAGGTCTTCTAGTCCAGCTCTCTGCCCAGGGCAGGAATCTTAAGACCATCTCAGACAAAGGGCCTTTCTTTGAAAACCTCCTATGACGGAGCCCCCATGACTCCAGGAGCAAACTCTTTCACTGTTTAATAATTCCCACAGCCAGGAAATTCCTCGAGTTTGGATACCTCTCTGTAAAGTTTCCACTCCTTGTTTCTTGTCCTACCCGAGCACCAGAGAATAAATCCACATCCCCTGAAGTACTGGAAGACTGCTATCATGTCCCCCCGGGCCTTCTCTTCCTTAGGCCAAACCCACCCAGTTCTTTCAACTGTCCTTCCTAGGATTTGGCCTCCAAGCCCCTCACCACCCTTGCTGCTCTTCTCTGCCCTCTTTCTGGCGCCTCAGCATCCTTTCGGTATTCCTGGCCAGACACTGGACCTCTGTTGATGCAGCCCAAAACTGCATTGGCTCTTCTGGCAGCTGCGGCACATTGCTGGCGCATGCGAAGTCCGTGGTCTTCCTGATGTCCAGGTCCTTCTTGCAAGGGCTGCTGCTAAACCAGGTAGCACCTCTCCTGTACCTGAGCACCTGGTTTTTCCTGCCTAACTGCAGAAGCTTACGTGTCTCACGGCTGAACTACCTTTTGTTGGACAGGGCCAGTGTTCAGGTCTATCAAGACCTCTTGAATCCTGAGCCTGTCTTCTGGGGCATTGTTAACAATCCCCCCCCCCCCAGCATTGTGTCATCTGCAAACATTATGAGCATCTCTATTCTAGGAGGAGATCTAGGTCATTTACGAAGATGCTGAAGAGTCCTGAGCCCAGGCAGAACCCTGAGGTACCCCCTGCCCTCTCCCTCCTTGTAGACATGGGCCCATTAAGGACCACCTGCTGGCTACAGTCGCTCAGCCAAGGGCAAGTCCGTCCATCCCACGTTCTTCCAGTTTATCAAGGGGGCTGCAGTCCACTTATTCAAATGCCTCGATGAAGTCTAGGTGTGTTACACCGACAGCATTCTCTTCATCCAGTAATCTAGTCACGTGGTCAAGCAAACAGTAAGATCTGTCCGGTGCAGCTTCTGGTTTATTCCTTTCTAAGTCCTTGCAAACCCACTGCTTGATTATAGTATGTCCAATCAACTGTGGCTAAATAGCCCGTAGTTTTGTGAGAGTTGCAGACCCTGGAGAAGGAGGGCGAGAACCACCCGGCGGTTCAGGCTGCCCTGGGAAAAGGTCCTTCTGCCACTCAGCTCTCACTCAGTTTCTGCAAAGAATTTTATTGGTGCGGCCCTCTTCATCCCGGACAAGGACAGGTGGAAAACAGGTGGCAAGCGGCATGGGGAGAAGGCGATTTTGGACCAGGTCACTTGGTAGCCCAAAGAGTCCCAAGGTGTTGAGTCGGGGATGCCAGCGGGCAGGTGCCAGGAAGGTGCACGGTGCTGGCACAGCCGCTACATTCACGGCATCGGTGGCAAAGCACCCAGGCCTCGAGAAGCTGTGCCGCCCTGGCACAAGGGGATAAGCAATCCGGTTAGCCAGCGAGGAAGCGCCACTACTCTGTCCGACTGGGGTCTTGGTCCAAGCAGCCCTAGGTTGAGGCAGCAGGGGAGAACTAAGGGGGGCTCGGGGCAGCGAGAAGGGACCCCGAGAGCAGGCGCCTCTTCAGCTCGACCCAGAGCAGCCGCTGCTCTTCCTCAGCTCGGGCTAGGAAGCCCCGATTCTCCTGGGCTCTCCTGGACAGGTAAGGCAGGACTTCCTTCACAGGGCCGTAGGGAACGTATTTGTACACGGGGAAGCCAGCTTGACCTGGAGGCCGGACGGAAGCAAAAGCCCACGGGTTACGACCGCTCAGCTCACAGCTCTCCCAGACAGAAGAAAGCAGCAGTTTGAACAGAAGCGGCAGCTTAATTGTGAAGCTCAGGACAGAGCCTCGCCTGTCCCCAGAGCAGAGATTGCGCAACTTGCTCCCCATCACAAGTGCACAACTTCTGCATGCACAAGAGCCACCCCACATCCAGGCCTAAAGTCAGAGTCTGGCAGCATCTTTTCTGATGAATGAATTTCAGTAAAAGGGATAAGCTTTCAGGAGCCGCAAAAGCTTATGCCTTTTAATAAAACGGATTAGTCAGAAAAGGTGCAACTAGACGTCTCCTGATTTTTGGCTACTGTAGACTAATGCAGTTCTTCTCCATGTTAAGGACTAACTCCAAAAGGGGACATGATTGAGGCCTGTTCAGCAAGATTCAAAGATGTTGAGGGGTGAAAGGTGTTTCCTGAGGCTCTGCACATCCCCTTGACCTATTCCTCTGAAATTCAAAGCCTGGATATTGGGCTAACGCGGACTCCACCTGCTCTGGGAAGGCATGCACAAGCTGGGGATGGTGGGGTAGGGGTGGGGGGCTGGCAGACCCTGGACCATACTTTCCTCTGTCCCTGAATATCTCTATTTCTGAAAAATAGGGGATGACTTTAGTTTAGGGTCATCCTGTTTGCAACCCCCACCTAATTTTTGCCATTCCCCAAGATCAGACAAGTGAAGTTTGGGTGTGGAAGGAAGGAAGGAAGGAAGGAAGGAAGGGCGTGTGTTGCAAGGATAGGAAATTCCACCTCCGCCCTGCTACAATGCCCGGGCTTCTTGGCGTCTGAAGAATGAGATGTTCCAATCAGAAGTGTAGCCAGTGGCACAAATGGCCAACAGTCACATCGCCCTTGTGGAAGCACTGGCTTACCAAGAGGGAAGGTGATTTGGTCACACATGCCCAGGAGCTGCCCGAAGTAGATCTTGTTCTCTGAGGGATGAATGCCAAGATCTGCCATCCTGCAGAAGAAAGAGAAGAAGAAGAGATCTCAGAAGACAACCAGGCACACTCATTCTGTCCCCAGATGTGCTCGTCCACCTGACTCTAGAAAAGCCTTCCCCAACCCTCCTTCCAGATGTGTAGACTCCAACTTGCAAAGTGTCCAGGGCAAGATGGCCTTTGCTGAGAATTCTAAAACGACCCTTCTTCAGGCTTTGTTGGGTAGGTTGGTGAGGGCCTTGCACTGACCAGTACCTGCCAAGGGTGAACTTCACCGTGTCCTTGTTGTGAGAAGCAACCATCACGTTGGCCTTCTGGCTGTGCCGGATCTCCTCCAAGATGTAGTCCAGGCATCTGCAGGAAAGAGAGTAAAGATGTCTCCTGGCCTGCTAAGAGTCCTTCCCCTCTTATAGCCTCAGAAGCCCAGAACTACCTTCTCCCCACCTGTGGTACATCTCGCTGGTCTTCTCATAGGTTGGGTTGATGGGGTCCTCGTAGCCCACCTCAGCTGCCCGACTTCGCTCCTGCTCCATGTATGCGCCTCTCACTAGCTTGGCTCCAAAATGCCACCCTTCCCGGCGTGAGAGCTCCACATCGATGGTCACATTGTCGTAGGCATCCTGTATGGAGGGGGGGAAAGTGGGGAGCAAGTTGGAAGCTGCAAAGGAGGAGGAGGAGGAGTCTGAGAAGAATCTGGTTGTCTGCCTGAACCTGCCATGCCAGAAGGTGTGTCTTCAACTCTACTCTGAAGGTTTCCAAGGCAAAATGGGATTCTCCTGGCTCTTTGTAACCAGAAGACTTTGCAGACCTCTGCTTCCACACAGAGATTTGTTCCTTTGTAAACTTTACTGAATTTTATGTTAGAGAGAGAGAGGAAGATCAGCTTCCATTCTGCTCTATTCCAGCAACGTCTACTTAGCCCAAGGTTTGGGGGTAAGGGTTAACTAAGAAAGACCTTTTACCAGACGATAAAGGATGGGTGATCTTTAACTTCTGCAGGTCACAATGGACATTCCAACACAATCTGCTTTAGGATTGTTTTGGGAAGTAAAAAACCCCAGACAGAATTCTTTATAAATCAACTCAACAATCAAGATATCAACAGTCTTTTTTTCTCCCAGAATTCCCAGCTAGCTAGAGGTCTGGGGAAAGTCATAAATCAGCCCCACTGATCTAGGTCTGCTATTTTTGTTAACTTTTCTCAGGAGGTGCAGCCTTCTGACTGCTTTTGGGCTCATAAGCAACATAGGGTTGGACCTGATCCGTACTTGGATGGGAGACCACCAGGAAACCCCACCTTCAGGTAGCACTGGTACGTGTTGAAGATGGCCGGCTTCTCCTGGTTGAATCGGCGCTGCATCTCCAGGGTAAGGCGGCTGATGGCTGGCTGGAAGTAGGTCTGTTCTGCATCTACCATCAACCTCACGCCCGTCCCTACCGCTTTCTAAAAGCCAGAGAAAGAGCAGAAACGGCTACTGATTAACAAGTGTGCCCACTGAAATGCACTACTTAAAAACCAATACTTTGAAAAATATTTAATACTGATAAAGATTGACACATATTTTGGATGGGGCTCCTAGGCGATGGTGGGTTCCTTGTCCTCCTCTGCTCTGGAGTTTCTTCCCACGGTTTGATCTTTTATCAACACTCAGTCTGGCCTTGCAGGCTTCAGTGGGACTGAGGAAGCCCCCGGGGCCACTTGCATTTAAAAGCAAACTCGGCCACTGAACTGATCCAGCAGGGACCAGACTCTTGGTGGGACGGGGAGGGGGCGCTGCTGAGCTGCAAAAGCAGAGGAAGGGTACCCCGTCCCCTCCAGGGCTGCTCGCAGATGAGCAAGAGTGCTTTCCTCGGCTCCAAGCCGGGCAATCGGCCTCCCCTCCGTGACCCGCAAGGGACCTTCCTGGGGGGCACCGGCTTTTCTTCTGCTCCCACTGCTGCCAGTCTCTCTCAGCAAGCTCTCACCTTGGCCAAGATGTCCATGCGCTGTAGCATGCGCTTCATCTGCATCTCCTCTTCCTGGGTGAAGCTGGAAAGGAGGGGCTCGAGCTGGCCTGTCTGGAGGAAAAAGGGGATGAGGGCCTCCGTTCCCAGAAGCAGAAACACAGAAACGAGGCCTGGGGAGGTTTCGGCATTCCAGCTGCCACTCTTGTGAATCACCGAACGGAGCCTGGCCGGTCTGCGGGCTGCAGCAGCCCACTCCTCCGCACGCAAACCTGGACGCCTGAAACTGGTCTGACGGGTCAGCCCGATTTGCTCAAATCCAGTCTCCAATCTATGTTTTGCACGGCCATAAAAACCAAGCCTCCGAGAGCCGGCCATGACCTTGGAGCCCAGAGACGGGCAGGGGGTGGTGGCTCCCCCAGGAGAAAGACCCTTCTCTCCCTGCCCGGCCACCATGTTGCACCCACTCAGCACAGAAGGCGCCCCTGAAGGATCGGCAAAGCTGCTACGATGGCAGGGGAGGAAGGAGTTAGGCTAGAGAAGCCACCGTTGATGACTCTGCCAGCCAAAGACGACCCTGGTCCTTTATCGCTTCCTTCCGCTGTCTTCTTCTAGCAGAAGCCAAAAGAGCCTTTCTTGACTTACGGGGGTTAAGCTGGCCAGCCTGGCCAAGGAGGGTTTTCTGCAGCCGGATCAGAGCAGAGGGAGAGCGCGCTCCGCCCTGCTTCTCACTCAGCTGCAGAGGAGAGATTACGTGCTGAAAGGAGTGCCAACCACCCACCCTAAATGCTGCTAACACGCCTGATGGATCTTATTAATCTAATGGACGTTGCTCCACGGACTTTGGGAGTTGCAGCCCTGACATATTTGGGGAAGGGCGGGGGAGAAAACACACTGAGGAGCAATTTTCCACCATTTTCCAAGCCCCCCCTTGTGCTGCTATGGCAAAGCCTCCAACAAGAGGACTCCCCCCACCCCCCATAAGGTTTCCCCTTGTGGTTGAATGCAAGTGCAAATAGTGGGAGAGAGAACCAGACCTTCACACACACAACTCTTGGTCATCTCCTAAAATCGCTGCATTCCCCCCTCTCCATCACAGCCAAGAACTTCCTCGCAGGTCTGGCACTAACCTTCAGGTTTGGAACGAGGAGGAGTTTGGAGATCTCCATCCGGGCATCGATCAAACTATTCCAGTCCAGCAAGTCCACCGTTCTGAGAAAAGACACTTATGTCAAGTTCTGGTGAGTGAAGGGATGGATCTCAGCAGTTCCTCCCCATCCCAACTTTTATCCCGGGAACTGGGATTGGCCTGGCAGAGATTTTGGTGGCAGAAGCTGACCTCCGCAGCCCCACGTACCCTGCCCTGCTCCAATCTCTGCCTTCTGCTGCCAGGCCAGGCGCCCTTTCATAAAAGCCCTCAGCTTCTCTGTTGCCAGGTTCAGGTTAACCTGTCTATTCATTCCTCCAAATGTTCCTTTCCACAGGGAAAGGAAGACATCTGAAGAGTCCTTGCCTCACAGGGTAAGAAGAGGCTGTAAGAGCGTCCCTGAAACTGGGTCAGACCAGCCTTCAGTGCCCACAGGAGAATGCATGCATATTGGGGCAAGGCTTCCAGGGACCCGGAATAACCTCGATCAGTGTTTCTCAACCTCAACAACTTTAAGATGTGTGGACTTCAGCTCCCAGAATTCCCCAGCCAGCATGCTAATTCACAATCCTGGCATTTTCTGGTGGTCTCTCATCCAAGTTCTAACCAAGTTCAATCTCGTTTAGCTTTGTGAGATCAGCTGAGGTGGGTTGGAGCAGCGTTGTTCAAGTTGACAACTTAAGATACATGGAATTCATCTCCCAGAATTTTGGGAGTTGAAGCCCACACATCTTAAAAGTTGTTGAGGTTGAGAAACACTAACCTAGATAACTTTTAGCCATCGTGTCTCACGGCCTTTTCCTCCATGGGTTTGTCTTGCCCCCTTGAAGGTGCCCAATTTGATGGCCATCGGGTGGCAGTGAGACTGCAATTTAACAATGCTGGGGGGAAAAACCTCTGTATGGCTCCAGCGTCTCCCACCTCAGCTTTAGGGGTTTAGCTTTGGGGGAAAAGGAAGGTTTGCTCCCCCATTTCACTTAATCTTCTTGGTCCTGTCTGTCCTCCCTGCCACTAAGTTCTTTTTTGGGGATCCCAAACTCTGAAGTCCAGGGCTCAGTAACCTCTTTATGATATTAAGATCTAATTTCAAAATGACCCAAATACTTCAAGAGCTGGTAGACTCATGAGACTTTTGTCATCCGTAATGTCACTGAGATGTTTGCAAGTTCTTCACCCAGTGGCATCCTGAATCAGTCTGAGAATGAACTAACAGACGGCCATTATAAGTGGATTTTGCACAGGCCTTGGGGGATGTTTTGGTATCTGGGGAAGCCCCACCGTGTCCTGTTTCTTCCTCCTTGCAAGGAAGCTGCTCCAAGATCACCCAGGATCTCCTTTTCTGTTTCTTTTCAAATGCTTCCACACCTCTGGAGAGGCAAAGACCAGGACCTCCCATTCTGGATGTGCAAATGACCTGCCTGCTGCCTCCCACCCCTCTAATAATGCAGCTGGCTTCTTCATGGGACTCAGAACCACCCAACCGAATAGCGCTTACCCCGTCAGGCCCAACTTCTCGCCTGCGAACCAGTGCTGGCTTTCAGCTTTGGTGGCAATCCCCAGGTTGGCCAGGGCCTCCTGCCAGAATCAAAAGGAGCCACGTCAGTCCCACAGTGCCCAACCACGTCTTATCCTTGAAACGGGTCTTGTGACAAGCATGAATCAGATTTGGGAGAGAAACCAGCCAAGCATTTTGAGGTCAAGGTTGCCCAATTCCTACACGTCTTGTTCAGATTTCGCCAGAAGTATCTCAATACTGGAATGAGCTGTTCTGACCTTACCGGAACTGGTCCAACCTTGTAGTGGACAGTTCAGACTGGTTTTTTGCACTGGGAATGGAGCTTTCTGACCTCCAGTCAGTGAACCCTGTAATGCCATCTCAAGGTCAGAAAGGGAGGACTGTTCGGACCTCAACATACTTTGTACAACCTCTGTTTACGGGTGTAGGGCATCTTCCCCAGCCTCCGGGCAAGGGTCCAGCATCCACCAGCCAATATAGTCCATGCTGTGTGGCTAGGAGCTACAGGAGGTAAAGTCCAAAAAAGGGGCGTGCCAGGTAGTGGGTGAAGAGAAGGGGTGAATTGAGCAGCCTGTGCAAAACATTCCTCTCCTGGTAGCCCAGTGCAAGAAGAGAGATGGGGCAAGACAGAAAGCGTTAAGAGGAAAAGGGGGTGCCAGAGAGGAAGGAATGGAAAAGATTTGCAGATTAAAGTTCTTTATGTTCAAGGCTCCAGTTTCCAGGGAAGAGCTTCGGGCAGATGCCTTCAGGAAAAGCCCACCTACAGCCACGGCAGGAGGAGGCATCTCTCCCAGTACCTGTTTTCGGAGGTAGATTGCTCTCGGTGCAGAAGTTCCAGGCAGGCAGCCCAGCTCTCATCTCCATTTTGTCAACCCCCGTCAGTGTTGCACACAACGACTCACCTGCAACTTCTCTACCTCCAGCTTGGTTTCCAGAGCTGCCAAGCCCACCTTGCCCTGTTCAGCAGCCAGTTGGTGGAAGAAGCTTCTCCATTTCACCAGCATCTCTGAGAACTGCAGCTGGAGGCAAGGAGACACCGAGTGAGCACCCCCGTCTTGAGGGAGAATATTTGCACCACGTCCCTGAGCACCCCCTGCATTGACCAGGAACATGGGATGGGCCTTCCAGATCAGACCACTTGGATTAGGATCTCATGGTCAGCAGTAGCCCTCACAAACTACAGTCCTGGGGTGGCAAATAATAAAAAAATGCTGCTTCTAAATTGAGGAGGTCCATTATAACCCATAGCTGTTTAATCCTATCCGCTCAGAACAAAAGCCTTGCAGGTCATTCCACCAAAATCAGTGTTAGCGGATTTTTTTTGCCATCCTTTAAATGCCAACTGGATCCTAAAGTCAAGTGACAATTAAAAAACAACGGTGGAAAAGGGACCTTTTAGAAAAAATTAAATCCTGAGGAAGGCTGGCTTTTTTGCAGGGAGGAAATGCTTGCTGGGGACCACCTACATCAAGAGGTAAAGGGTTTGGCCAGAGATGCCTTCACAGATGCTCTCCTGAGGACCTCAGGAGAAAAACTACATCAGAACATACGGTTTGTACACAGAACACACACATCTAACAAGGAGGCACCGAGCACCCTAGCTCAGGGCTGGGAGAACAGCCAGGTCTTTAAGGCCTTCTGAGATGCTAACGGGGGAGCCACCTGGAACTCAGGGGGACCCATTCCGAGGTCAGGTGCCATGACAGAGAAGGCATGCTTCCTGCATCCTGAAAGATGACCTTATTTGACCGAGGGGACCTGATCAGCCCCAGCACGCTTGGCCAACAGTGAGAGGTGCCGTGAGTAGGATTTGGGCAACATCCGATAGTCCACATGGTCTCTCCCTTCATGGATCGAGAGCTTTTAGAAAATAGTAAGGTAGATGGCTATGGGCCAGCAGGAAGCTGAGAAACCAAATGCCCCTTATCCAGACTAGGGGATCACGTACCAGGAACTGCGGCCTCCCCAGCGCTGTGAGTTTAATGGCGGAGAAACCGTCTTCTGAGCTGCCTCCTGAAAAACACCAACGTACGCAGCGCTCAGAGCCTTTCCAGCTGAGAAGGACCACGGCTGAACAGCCAAGGGGCCTCCGAGCATCTCCCCGGGAGCCAAAGCAACTTAGCCTCTTGCCCTGAGAATGAGGGAGGTCACGAGCCACCCTGGCCCTCCAGGAGCCTTGAGACAGGATGACCCCAGAGCAATGCCAAGGGGGACCTCTCTACCCCAATCACCCTCAAATTAGACTTCCTCCAGGCACATCAGCTTCAACTTGCAAACCCAACAGCCAGCAGGGCAATTGCCAAGAATCCTGGCAACGGGAGTCCACGTTTGGAGGGCACCCAAAGTGGAAGAGTTGCTCTGCAGCCACGGCCTTTGCAAGAGAGATCCCCAAATCTGCTTGGGCCCCAGCTCCCATCATCATCTTCACTGGTCTGCTCTGGAGGTCACCGTCTGCTCACCTGAGGCCTCAATACATTTCAGGAACGTCTCCATATGCCGGTCGCATTTGGCTTCATCAGCGTAGAAGTAGGTTCGGGCGCCGATGACGCCATCCCGGCGGTCTCCAAACTTGTGATGGACACTGTACCGCTTCTCTCTCCGCTCTGGGAAGGACAGGCAGCAGGGAGAGCCCCCCTTAGACCCCAAGCCGCACCAAGCTCCCCCTTAGCAACTTTCTGAAATGCTCCAAATTCTGGGCTCAACAAAGAATCCTGGGTGACCTTACTTGTTAGCTATAATGGTTTAACTTGGCTGCAGTTGGGGTGCCTCCTGCATGGGCTAAACCTGTTGATGGTCATTGTGTTGGGCAAAATCAGCCAGGACAAGAGAGCAAAGAGGGTGGCCGAGCATGGACCAGGAGCATCCCATTTGTGGCCTCCAGAGCCCCCCACAAGGCACGGGGACAAACCCGTAGCCCTGTTGCTTTTTTTCTTAGCACATCTGGGGAGTTAAGGAGCAAAATGGAAGCTTAAGTCAGCGATCTACTGTTCAAAATCCTACCCCCCTGAAACGAGCTGGGGCCCCACCACTTTGGGTGCGTGTCCCTTGACGTGCCACGAAAAGGCTCAAAGGAGCCCCTGAGCCCACAGCTGAGAAGAGCTTCTTCTGTGGCTCTCTCAGGGCTCCTCCATCAGCAGCCCTGCGCTAACCGGAGACGTCAGAAGCAACCAGAGAGAAAACGCTGCTCTCTCGCATGCCCCCTTGGCTGCACACGCAAGAAATGAATGCAGAGAGCAAGGCAGAAGCTACCCTGGGCACCCACAGGGCAGGCTGGAGACCCCAAGCAAATGGCGGGGCGTTAAGCGGTCACGGCTTTGCACAGCTGAAGCAGCAGCTTTACTTACGGCCTGTCTGCTTCTCAAACGCAGAGACACAGGAGCTGGGAAGAAAGAAAAACACGAACTTTACTTTCTACTGTCGGTCTTCCGAGCCAGAGCGTCCAAAGTTGTTCGCCATGCAAGCACTGAACGCAAAGCTGGCCACGCGCCCAGAACAGCCCGGGGCGACCCAAAGGGTTGGGGGTCTGCCAGCTCTGTTACGTGTGAATTTGGCAATGTCAGAATACGTGGGGTCGGCAGTCACATCCTCCAGTGCCGTGGCTCAACAAGGAAAAGAGGCCCTGTTTGCACCCTTTTTTGCCACACTCGCACCCTAGGTACGCAACCCCGAATAAAAGAGAAAATAAAATGACAGAAAATGTTCTCCACGCAACAGTGTTTGCAATTTCTCATCCCGCCCTCCAGAGAAGGGTCCCTTTCCCTGATCCTCTCTTTACGTGTAAAAGTCCAGTGAAGTGAGGACGTGTTGGGATTGCAGTCTGTAACCAGGTTGGGCATTCTGGGAGTTAAACTCCCAACGCGTTTGGGAAAGGCTACTTTAGCCTGCAGGGTTCAAAAACACAGAAAATGCCGCTGCTTCGAGGAACCCGGTTTCACCCAGAGCACGGCCGAGCGAGGAGACAGGCCCACGCTCCTCTTCTCTGGGCACCTCCTGCTGGCTTGGTCAAGGCTAAAATGCAACTCCGGCTTCTGACGGAAGCTTTTTGAAAGCACCTTTTCCTAATATCATGGCAAAAAAAGTGAAAAACACGGGCTAGCCGTCCCCCCCCCCCCAAGTTTCCTTACAGAGGGGTTGGCATTCAACTTCCATCATTCCCAGCTGAACCACCCTGGTGGGAAATAATGGATGTTATAGGCCAGCATGGGCAAGGGGGGCACTAGGTTGGGGATGGCTGGCATAAGCTTCAATTTTAACACAGGATAATCTCAGAAGGGACTGAAGGATCGGGTTATGTGCACAAACTAGGGGAGCTGAAGGCTCGCGCAAGCAGAAAGTGCAAACTGTAAGAGATATCTCGGCTGTGCTAGAAAGAGCATGGGAGAGGGGCTCTCTGCACACGTTTTGAGAAACAACCAGTTTACATGCCTAGATGGGAAAAGGAGCACATAGAGGAGATATTTCGTGCATCTACTGAACGTAGAAAAGAACCATCTCAGGGGCAAATGGTTTCCATGTGGCTCCTCTACTTAGAGGAAGCCTTTTCTAGGTGGGGCCACTTGAATGACACCACCCATTTGATTCCTGAACCGCCCCATTCAGTGTGATACAGCCACGGCTGAGCCCCCCCAAAGGGCACAAGCAGGGCACAGAAGCCACGCCTCTCTCCACCACTGCCTCACCTAAACCTGTACTCTGGGGTAGACTGCCCTCGAGCTGGAGGCTCCATTCACCACTCTCAGCTCCGGTCCTTAGCACCTCTATAGCTCCTTGCTTGATTCAGCTCACTTTACAGCGACTTGAGTCACTGCCTCTCATTCCAGAGCGTCGGGTGGCTGGGCAAAGAACTCGCCTTTGTCTGCTCTGAATTCACAGGGAGGCTCCGAGTTATATCATTACAAAGAAGGAAGAATAAAGACTATTGCACCACGTACAATGAGCTCTGCTGAAGGTGTGACCTGCCGGGAAACGAAACGTTTGCAAGAAAACCACCAAGGGCTCTGCAGCGTCAAACTGCAGGCACCAGACTGCTTTTAAAATGCCTTCAATGCAAGAAATACTGAAATGCATCGGAGACAGCGCCTGTAGTCCGACTTCATCCTTGCTGGGGTAGTTCTCTTCTTCCTTCCAGCTTGCATCTTGAAGGGCTCAGCATACTTTCTAGCAGCTCACGTGCAGCCCAGGAAAGCAGAGGGATCTTTCGGAAGGCGATGCAGACACGCATCCCCGAGAAGGCTCGGTCTTCTCCCGGGGTTGGCCCGGGGCTGGCTTCGCTCAGGTGCAAAGGGAAGAGGGCAGAGAAGAGCAGCGAAGAGGGCGAGGGCTCGGAGGCTAAATCCTCCAGAGAGCAGTCAAAAGCCTGTGTAGCCTAAAGAAGAGAAGGCTCGGGGAGACAAGATTGCGGTCCTGCAATCCTCGCGGGCTGCCCCAGAAAAGAGGGCGTGGAGTTATGCTCCACAGTGCCCGAGGGTAGGGCAGAGCAAAGCAGCCAAATCAGGAAGAACGGCCTGACTGGGACACCCGTTAAGCGGAGGAACAGCTGGAGTTGCTAGAGGTTTTCAGGCAGAGGCTGGACAGCAAGGGGCCTGGGATGTTAGATTAGACCAGGGTTCCTCAACCTCAGCAACTTGAAGATGGGTGG